AGAAACGATGTACAAATGCGCTTTACACAATTGATGTGTGTATGGATTGGGATAACAGTTGTATGAGCCTCTAATAAAATGTTAAAAAAGAAAAAAAATAAATAAATAAAGATGTGCACATTGGAGGAGGATGAAGGAAAAAAATTAGAAAAACATATAGAATTGATATATAAGTTCAAGGTAGAAAAATATCTCTTTTATTAAATACTTTTATTGGGGGCTCTTATAGCACTTATCACAATCCATACATTCATCCATTGTGTCAAGCATATTTGTACATATGTTGTCATCATCATTTTCAAAGCATTTTCTTTCTACTTGAACCCCTGATATGAGTTCTTAGTTTTTCCCGTCCTCCCCCACTCTCCATCCCTCATGAACCCTTGATAAATTATAAATTATTTTCATATCTTACATCATCCTGTCTCCCTTCACCCACTTTTCTGTTGTTCGTCCCCCTGGGAGGGGGTTATATGTCTTTCCCCCCAGCTTCCCCTTATCCTTCTGGTACCGCTATTCTCATTATTGGTCTTGAAGTGTTTATCTGTCCTGGATTCCCTGTGTTGCAGGCTCTTATCTGTAGCAGTGTACATGTTCTGGTCTAGTCATATTTGTAAGGTAGAATTGAGGTCATGATAGTGGGGGAGAGAAAGCATTAAAGAACTAGAGGAAATATGCATGGTTCAATGGTGCTATACTTTACCCTGACTGGCTCCTCTCTTCCTTGTGACCCTTCTGACAGGGGATGCCCAATTGTCTACAGATGGGCTTTGGGTCTCCACTCTGCACCCACCCCCGCCCATGATTTTGTTCTGGGTCTTATATGCCTGATACCTGATCCCATCGACACCTCATGATCACACAGGCTGGTGTGCATCTTCCATGTGGGCTTTGTTGCTTCTCAACTAGTTGACCACTTGTTCATCTTCAAGCCTTCAAGACCCCAGACACTTTATCTTTTGATAGCCAGGCACCATCAGCTTTCTTCACCACATTTGCTTATGCACCCACTTTGTCTTCAGTGACCGTGTCAGGAAGATGAGCATCACAGAATTATTAGAACAAAGTGTTCTTGTGTTGAGGGAGTACTTGATCCAAGTCCCAATGCCCACCTGCTACCTTAGTACTTAACATATAAATAAAAGAACATAGATTTATTTCTTTTATTTTTCATAGATCTGTTTATCGATATATATAAATATCCTATGCTTCCATGTTCTCTCTTTATTTCCTTTTGCTTTCCTCTTGTCCCACTGTCATGTTCAGCTTTCATTCAGGTTCAGTAATTCCTCGCTTTTACATTGCCCTTGATTAAGCCCCACTAGGCCTCCTATGCCCTTCTCTCCATTAATTTTAGTTCACTTGTTGTTCCCTTGTCCTTGGGCTGGTTGACACCCCTGCTTCCTTTCCCCCACCTCCCCTACTCCTGTGTCCTTCCAGAAGAACCCTCCGTCCCATTGTTTTCTTCTTTGAATTGTTTATTCCACCTATCTTGTCTAGATAGCCATGCAGAGACATTAATAAGCGGGAAAAAAAACAGGCAAAACCAAGCAAAACAACAAAGGGAGACAAAGCAACAACATAAAAAAAATCAACAAAAATAAAGCCAATGACAAAAAAGAAAAAGCCTATAAATCAGAAGTTCACAACCTGTGGGTCGCCACCCCTTTGGGGATTGGTAACCCTTTCACAGGGATCAACTGATTCATAACAGTATCAAAATTATAGTTATAAAGTCACAACGAAAATAATTTTATGGTTGGGGGGGTCACCACAACATGAGGAATTGTATTAAAGGGTCGCGGCCTTAGGAAGATTGAGAACCACTGCTTTAAATAGTTCTGGTCTGTTTTTTTACTTTTAGGAGTGTTTTCTAGTTGAGTCTGATGGGGTTCCACACTCTGTCTGTCCCCTAAGTCTATTTTTGGTATTCCCAGAGACTTCATCGCTTTGCTCCCCTTGCTGCTGCTTTGCATGCCCTTAGTGTTTCTTCCCAGCGTGATCGGGTCAGATAAGGCACCGTTCCCACACTGTCTCCACTGTTGTCCGCTGTAGCACTATGGTTCAGTGAGCGATGTCCTGTCTCGTGGTGGGGCCGATCCTATGGTCCTCTCTCTGCATTGTCTTCTCTGAGCAGGAATATCGTCCTCGGGGCTTGGTGGGCCAGGATGTATTCCACTTACTCTCCTTCCCTCATTTCTCCTGTGTGCTCTAATCAGACATGCCCCTCTCCCCAAGATGTAGCTTCCGTGCTGTCCTCTGAAGTGTATTCTTTGGGGGTGGGGGGAAGTTCCACATAGTTGAGATTGGGGCCAGCCCCCAAAAATATTTCTTAAAAGTGTAACTCATACAGGAAGATTACTCAATTTGATCTCATGGGAGAAAACACTATGAAGTATTAGTAGAGAAAATGAACACAATACTTCAAAATCGCTATCTGCATAGATAATTAGACATGGATATATACCATATATACTCGAGTATAAGCTGAGGTTTTTCAGAACAATTTTATGCAGTTTTGTGGTATAATTAGGTGCCTCGGCTGATATTTGGGTCAGCTTATACTCGAGTGTGTGTGTGTGTGTGTGTGTGTGTGTGTGTGTGTTTGTGTGTGTGTGCACATACATATACATAAATAAATGAGATGTTGCTGGTGTGGTAGGGGGGTGGTGGGTTTTGGACTTGGGGTTGTTGATAAAGAGGACAGTAGCACAAGCCCAGAACCAAATGAGATTAATTGTGAATTGGTTTTTCATCCAAGTTTGTGAATATGTATGATTGTTTTATTACTGTCTTAATAAAGAGAATGACTATCAAATATAGCATATGAACAAGTATTTTTTAAAGTAGCTTGAATTTAATTTTTTTTAAAATTCTGCTTACCATCAATAAACACAGAGACATAAATGACATTTTTACACTATATTTTCAGTGATGCCAATTGGTGGAAAGGAGAAAATCACCGAGGAATCGGTCTCTTCCCATCTAATTTTGTAACAACCAACCTAAACACAGAGTCTGAGGCAGGTAAGTTAAATCATAGAGAAGGTTAAGTTTATTAGTTAAAATAATTTATATTTTAATTTTGTCGTTCATTTTTAGTGCATGCTGTCCTCAACTTACTACCGACCTCCATTCGGATGGTTCCACTGTCAATTGGTGCATGTGTGTTTTCTTTATTGGTGTCTATTATTATCAGTATCTTTATAAATCAGTTTATTTGTCTTTGGGGATTGGCCTGAGAATGATATCAGCAAATTACATGCTATATCATTGTATGTAGTACATACTACATACTTTTATTAATCATTTTATTGGGGTTCTTACAAATCATATAGCAATCTATCATTCAATTGTATTAAGCACACTTGTACGTAGGTTGCCATCAACATTTCCAAAACATTTTCTTTCTACTTGAGTCCTTGGTATCAGCTCATCTTTTTTCCCCTCCCTCCCCTATCTTCCTACCCTTGTGACCCCTTGATAAATTATATATTATTATTGTTATTTTATGTCTTATACTGTCTGTTGTCTCCTTTCACCCACATTTCTGTTATTCGGGGCAGGGGCGTTTTACGTACTTTTAAACTTCTGATTTTTGTAGTGACTTATTACAAAGATGGACTCAAAGAAATCAGATGACTCTAAGTGTGGTCCGCAGTAACCTGAATTTATTGTAAATTAGGGATTACCTGTACAAGGTCGATTGGCATTTAAGACAAATTATTAACTGATAGGCATTCCAATTTCACCAGTGTCTTTATCAGCTTAAGGGGTGGTCACGGAGCCCTGGTGGCTGAGTGGTTGTGAGTTGCCCTGTGGTCCTCGTGGTCCTGGGAAGCTCACGGGCGCAGTTCTGCTCTGACCCGTAGGATTGGTGTGAGGGGCATCAACTCGATGGCAGTGAGTTTGTTTTTGTTTGTTTGGGGGTTTTATGTAACTAATACCAGATCAATTCCAAAAACTACATGGGAGCTTTAAAAGAGTTAATGGGAAAATTCCACTATCATTTGATTCCATTTTCCCATGAACTTTTTGAAGGCCTATTTCCTTATCACATTTTAAATCCACTGAGAGTTAAGTTAGTTAAATACCAGGCATAAAAACATCTGTGACTATTTGAATATTTCAGTCACCCTAATCATAAATAAAAGAGGCAGTTTTTGTCAGTGCAGTGAAAATATCACTTAACCCCACAGTTGGGGAGGAGTGGGTTTGTGAGGGCTTGGTGAATGAGTGCTGAGTATGGTTGCCAGAGTTGAGAAAATTTTTCAGATTTTTTTTCTTAGCCTGAAGCATAGGAAGCAGCCTAATCAAGACCCCCATGTTCATGGTTAGATATTCTGCGCTCTCTTGGTTCTGTAGCAATCGACAGTACAGGGAATAAGGAGGGACTGGCTGTGAAGGAGCAGGTAATAATCCTGCTGGTGTTCTCAGCACTGTTTGTCAGGCATGTGCTAAGTCTTTTGTTTGCATTATCCCATTTAATTCTCACAACAGCTCTGGCATTAGGTGTTTTTGTCATAGATAAACTTAGGCTGAAGGGTTATGTGCTAATAAGTGATAGAGCCAGGAGTCTAAAGTCAGCCAGTCTCACCTTGAATGTCCATATACACTGGTCACTGAGGGGTACTTTGGTGCTCATTCTAGAGAAAACGCTGTGTGATTGTGACACACTGGTTATAGCATAATCTTTATATGCAGAGAAAATAAATTGAGATAGATGCCTACTTATTTCCACTCTAGTAGTTGTTATAATTGGAGAGAATATGGTTTTTAAGAAGTTGAGAGATGATGCGTAGGGAACACTTTGTGGAAGATTTCTTCTGGCATAGACTGGAGAGATTGAGCTGCAGTCCTAAAAGTAAAAAATATCCTAGTGTCAGAAAGAGAGGACTTCAGAAAGTTAGTGAAATAATTCTAGTATCTTCTAACTATACTTTTCCATGAACCCTTTGAAGCCTCTGGTATATACTCATTCTGAACTCTGCTCCTTAAGCCATATTCTCCTAGAGAACACTCTACAAATACATTCAAGTATTTGAAAGAAATGGTTGACTGTTGGAACTAAAAAGTTCTTATACTTTTTTCATGATTTTATTTATACCAAAATTTACTGTATTAAAATAAAATACATTCTAGCAGTATTCCAGTGAACATTTAAGTATGTTGTATATGAGTAGGTACCCCCAAGACCCTGGAATTATTAAAAAGCTATGCATTTAAGTTTTTTAACAAAACAACCTTATCACCATCTAAGTACTCTCCATTACACTTAATACATTTGTCAAATCTGTGATTTCCTTCTTGGAAACATTTTTCAAACTCATCTGTTTGGATGGCTTGAAAGCATCTCCCTTGTTTTTTTCTTAACCTCTTCGCAGTCGTCAAATTTCTCTCCTTTCATGTCCCTCTTCATTCAGTGAAACAAAAAGAAGTCCTAAAAAGTGAGATCAGGTGTGTGGGGCAAGAGAGGCATGCTGCTTTTTGCCAAAAACAGGCACACCGAGTCCCCCGTCTTCCGCAAATCAGGCCTTTTTTTTATCACACACTCTTAGGCAATCTTTTCAGAACCTCTAAATAGAAAACTTGATTAACAGTCTGACCTGGTGGAAGGAACGCCAAATGCACTACGAGTTGTCGTTTTCTGTCCATTCGGGAAGTTAAGCGACGACCAGAACATGTCGTCAATCGACATTTCATCTCTTTTAAAACAAGAAAATCACTCACACACTTGAGTTTTCCCCCATAGCACTGTGCTTGTTAGCTGTGTTCAACATCACATCAGTTTCTGCGACATTTTTCCTTAGCAGGAAACAAAATTTCACACTTGCTTGCTGTTTTCTTAAATTGACCACCACAAAAAAAGAAAGTTTGAACAAAACTGCTTTTTTATTTTTGGCAAAACTGCTTTTTGAAAAATTTTACTATGGCCAGAGACAACCTTCCCAGGCAACACCACTGGGTGCACTAACTCAGAGCGAGTTGCCTGATGCTCACCTAGCAGGAAAAATGTGTACTAGAAGCTCTGCTCTGCCCAAAGCAATTCTTGAGTTTGTTTGTTTTTTTTTGGTACCCCCTTGTACATGTATTTTTTTCTATATCTTTATATATATATATAAATTTTTCAATCTATGAAAGCATTTTATTTTGTATTGTTATATTAACTATTTTCAAAGTTAGGTTGAAGTCAGGTCTATTTTTTGTTCATATAAGAAATACTTTCTTTTAACAAGGAAGAATGTAAGAATTAGTAATAAATTTAACTCTGAATGGATAATATCTGTTCTCTTCTGTATACATTCCCTCCAGTGGAAATACCTGTAACGACAGTGCTTTTACACCGCTCTCTTGTTCCACTAGAATATGAGTCCACTGAGGGTCATAGGATTCTTTTCTGTTTCATTCACTGGTGTTTATACCCAGTGGCTAAAATAATGCCTGACACATCAAAGTACAAAGCCGGTTTTTGTCTTATGACCGGCTGAATGAAGATTGAGTAGACATGTGATCATGTATGTTGACTATGGAATGTAATGACCAAAGAGCTTCCTGTTTTCCTTATGGGTATTCCCGGACGACTTATAAATTTTAACAACTGAAATATCAACATAGTTCTGAAGAACCTAAACTTTGTTTCCATAGCAGCTGTGGACAAATTGAATGTAATTGAGGATGATGTGGAAGAAACTAAGAAATCAGAACCTGAGCCTGTTTACATAGATGAGGTAGAGTTTTTTGTTGCTTTGTCTTTTTTCATTTACTAATTAAATAATCAAGACTTCTACAGTGTATGTCAAGTCCTGGAGAATGTGTGGAAAGAGTAGCTTTATGTTCACTGTTGTGAAAACTCTAAGTTATTAAGAGGCCCTCCTGTGTTTTAGGATAAGATGGATCGAGCCCTGCAGGCACTCCAGAGTATAGATCCAACAGACTCCAAGCCAGACTCCCCGGGCCTCTTGGACTTGGAAGGTACTACTGACTATTAGAAAGTAGTTTGTGTCATTTCGTTATTTCTAGCTGTTTATTTTGTCTTCTGCCTTATATTTGCTTCTAGAATTTTGAATTAAATTTCTGGTGTGGAGAATAGACAATTAAAATAATAAGTATTTTGAGGAAAATAATGACGTATTACAAAGAAGTCTTTGTATTTTCTATAAGGCCACCAGAGAAACTGGCTGAAGAGATATTCAGTCAATAAAAGGAGAAATGAGAACTAAGAACTAACTGCATATTAGATTAGTTGGCCCAAAATATTAGAAGATCTTATTCTTGTTTAATTCTCTTGCATGATCATTGTACAAGTCAGAATTATACATGAACACTGTTAACTTTGTAATGTAGTCATAGAATGCTGATGTATATTTTAGTCACTAAGAAAACTTGAGGCAATTAAAACAAAGTTCTTAGATGCTTTTCCTGCCTTCTAGAAGAAAAATCCCTAGTAAATGAATACATCTTTCTGGTTTTTTATACAATGAAATTTAGCTGTGAATATAGAACATTATGCTGTCCGTTATATGAATATTTACATTTAGAGATACATAAAATAAGTAACTTGAAGTGGCATAAATATAAATCATTTTCTAGGTATTTTTAAGACTCTGAGATCATTCCAAATTTTTTTTTGATCATTCCAAATTTTAATCTGTAAGCTTAATTAATAATCCCAAGGGACATGGTGGGATTTCTAACTAAATTTTGAATTTGCCTTTGATCACATGATGTTAATAATTGGAGCCAAATACTGTTGAAACTAGATCTTTTGAAGTCCTTTCTTTACCATAGAATTACAACTCTATGTACTATGCAAGGCAATGGATATTACCAGTTGCTTTGTTGTTAAAAGTTACTGAAACTGGCTTATGATTCTAGATTTGTAAGTATTTTTTTATGTTTATAGATATTTGTCAACAGATGGGTCCAATGATAGATGAAAAACTTGAAGAGATCGATAGGTAAGATTTCTCTTGCAGGCAATAAAAAGTGTAGTTTTCTTGTGTGTGCTTTTTGGGGGCTGTGTTAGACAGGGTTCTCTAGAGAGATAAAACCAAATTCCTGAGAATATAATATATTTATTTATAAAGATAATTAATATATAACGAGAAATGAAATGTTAAATCATATACAGATAAATATACAATACAAGAAATAAACAGTTAAAGTAGAAGCACTATAAATGGCTTAGTGCAACTCATGTTCGTGAGAGAAAGTTGAGAGACTAGCAGTCCTTAAAGTCTCTATCTGATGCCAGATCTTCCTCCTTTTGTAGAGAGAGCTAGGTTATGTCAGCACAGCAGCCAATCACAAGGCAGGTCACCAGTCGCCAGTCCTCAGCTCCAGAGAAGTCTTAAAGGGACCTCAACTTACAGCAACACAGTCCACAGGCTAGGCATCCCACAGGCTGTGTAGCCTTTAAATTGAGGCACAGAACAAGCAAGGCAGCCGCACACTGGTCTGATGATCACAGAGCGAGAGACAAGAAAGGCAAGGCTCACCAAGCCATCCATCTCTCCGCCCCTCAGTCAATCCCACCTGTGTTTATCAGCCAGGCTGGCACAATAAACTGTCTCAATCCACCCCTTGCCAACCTGGCACCTGTACACAATTCCTTAGCCATATATACATATATAAATTATGGACATTGATGAAATCACACTTGTACTTATCATCAATCATCTATTATATATATAAATGAAAACATAGTCCAATTATATCTGATATATCATACCTGAATGAAGGAAAGATATGCAATAAACACATAAAAAGAAAATACATTGACAATTACAAACCTCGCTTTTGCAATTGATCACGTGGTTGTAATTTATAGGTAGAACTACCTTCTACTACTACCCATTCTGTATTACCTTTGCCCTCAGCAAGTACCTCAGCTGGCTGTGGTTTTTTGCCTGGTGGGTTGACCCAGACCTTCATTCCTGAGGGGTCTGGGTCATTATAAGTCCTGTGAAAGTGAAGAATGAATTTTTATAAGCTATTTTGTTGAGTATTCCCATATCACCAAAATAGTCTACCAAATTGTACCAAATAACATGCAGAACCTAACTAAAATATCACATTTAGTAAACACAAAAATTATGGTGTTTTCGGCTGGGTGGTCTAGAGAAACAAACCAGTGACATTCATCTATATAAGAAGTAACTTTACATCAAGGAGGCGCCCCAGCCCAGTCCAACTCAAGTCCAAAGTCCAATGCTCGCTGTCTCCTCTTCAGACTGACTTTAGCTGTAGCTACAAGCCGATGACAAAGAAAGGTGAAGTGGGAAGCAGGGAACGCACAGGCTGATGAGTGCAGAGTCATGTGGATGCAAAGCAAGGCAGGGAACTGACAGCGCTCTGGCCTGTATGGGGCTGCCCCTGGCGGTGGACAGAGTCCTGGTGAAGTGGCAGAGAGGTTGCTGTTCCCAGTATCTCTCACTGTTGCACAAAAGTCAGGATACTGAGGAGGTGTCATGAGGCTGCGACCTGATTGATGGACTGAACTCCCTCCCCTCCCTGTATTATTTAACTACCGCAAATGGTAAATGCTCAGCCTTTATAAAGGAGAATTTATGTGCAGTGCGATTCCCACAGATGAGCTTGGTGCCACCACTATGGCTGCTCCAGGTGTGTGCTTCCTTATTAGCACCTTGCTGTAAAACACATGTTGACTGATTTTTTTCATAAAGGAGTGAAATCCTATTTAGATTTTTTTCAGTTAATGAAAACAGGTACCAAAGTAGGTCTTTCCTAAAAGTGAAGTGGCATAGATGAACTTTCAAAAATCTGGGGATGCCTGTACTTGTAAACATTTCAAGTGAAATTCCCTAGTACTTGTGACCACCACTCCTGTCAGTTTGATGGACTGTGGTGGCTTGCTTGTTGTTGTGATCCTGGAAGCTGTGCCGCTAGTGGTTCAGATATCATCAGGGTCATCCATGGTGGACAGGTTTCCGTGGAGCTTCTAGACTGAGACCAGAAAGAAGGACGTGACGATCTGCTTCTGAGAAATTAGCCAATAAAACCTTATGAATAATAGCAACACATTCCATGATCTGATGCCGGAAGCTGAGCCCGTCAGGTTGGAAGGCAGTCAGTATGGCTTTGCACAATGTCTTCAAGAGGAACCAGTCCCTAGAGAAGGCCATCATGCTTGGTGAAGTAGAGGGGCAGTGAAAAAGAGGAAGATCCTTAATGGGATGGATTGACACAGTGGCTCCAACAGTAGACTCTGGCACAGCAGCAGCTGTGAGGGTGGCATGGGGCCAGCACTGTTTTATTTTCTTGTATGCAGGGCTGCTTTGAGTTGGAACTGACTTGATTGCATCTGACAACGACAATGACAAAAACAGTACATGTTAAATTAAACCCAGTGCCACACAAGTCTTCTTATTGCTTTTCCTAAATTTTTGTCTTTCTGTTGCCCTTTTAATTTTGTTAGACCTCCTACCTAGTCTCACTATTCCTTAGAAAGAGCAGCAACACTGAATGATTAAATGTCAGAGCTTTGAATTCATGTCCTAGTTCGCCGTCGCCCCCCCCACCCCCCTTTCTGACTCTTCGGAGTTTTCTTTGGTGGGGGAAATCCATTGTGAATAGAAGACAGGATAACATCTCAGAGTCCTGTCCTCTATTCCTGTTGTTTAAGCTGTTGGGAAGGACCAAAGCCGTTTGGAGTCAGCCTGTATACTTCTCAAGTTCTTCTGCTAGAGAAATGTAGTGACACAGTTCTTCCCAGTCACTGAAGGTTGTGATCTTTGTTCATGGGCATTTTCCATAATTAAAGCAACCCAAAAAAAACCCAACAACTTTCAATTGAAAAATGAATGCATGTCACAGTTAATGAATATGGTGGTAGTTTCATTTTTTTTTCTTAATTTGGAAAAACAATGTTTGCTTAGACCTCTGCACTGGTTTTAATTAAGAATAGTAATGATAAGTGAATAATCAGATTGGAAAAGATATTAAAGAATGGTTTGTATCACTGTAGGTGTGGCTAAGACATAAATTTTATAATCCTTTCTGAAACCTAAAAAATCATGTCCTATCAACCTAGTAGCTTCTAGCCCATAGTTAATATATAAATATGTATGTATGCAAAATTTCACTTCTTAGGGTATCCATCAGAAAACAATGGGGTTCTGGGGGGCACATGGGAGAGGTGGTAGGGGTGGCAAGGAAGGGGCGGGTGCCAGCAAACCCAGGGACAAGGGAACAAGTGATCTAAAATCAATGGTGAGGAGTGTGTAGGATGCCTGGTGGGGCTTGATCAAGTGCAGTGTAGTCAAGAGGAATTAATGAAAGTCGAATAAAGGTTGAATATGATAGTGGGACAAGAGGAAAGTAAAAGGAAATAGAGGAAAGAGCTAGGAGGCAAAGGACATTTATAAAGGTCTAAATACAGGCATGTACATATATAAATATATTTATAACTATAGGGAAATACATCTATGTACTTATATTTATATGTTAAGTGTTAAGGTAGCAGGCAGACATTGGGCCTCTACTCAAGTATTTCCTCAACACAAAAACACTTTGTTCTAATAACCTGGCATTCTGTAATGCTCACCTTCCCAACACTGTCGCTGGAGACAAAGTGGGTACATAAGCAAATGTGGTGAAGAAAACTGATGGTGGCCAGCTGTCAAAAGATATAGTATCTGGTCATCTAGCTGAGAAGCAACAAAGCCCACATGGAAGAAGCACACCAGCTTGTGTGATCATGAGGTGTTGATGTGATCAGATATCGAAGACCCAGAACAAAAATTATATCAGTGTGAATGAGGGGAGGGCGGAGTGGTGACTCAAAGCCCATCTGTAGACAGTTGGACATCCCCTCCTTACAGAAGGGTCACAAGCAAGAGACGAGCCAGTCAGGATGCAGTATAATACCGACAAAACATACAACTTTCCTCTAGTCATTATTGCTTCCTCTTCTGCCCCCATTGTCATGACCCCAACTCTGCCTTACAAATCCGGCTAGACCAGAGCATGTACACTGGTACAGAAAAGAACTCACAACACAGAGAATCCAGGACAGATAAACCCCTCAGGAACAATAATGAGAGTAGGGATACCAGAAGGGTAAGGGGAAGGTGGGGGGAGAAAGGGAGACCGGAGCACAGTGATTGACATATAACTCCCTCCCTGGAGGATGGAAAACAGAAAAGTGGGTGAAGGGAGACAGCGGTTAGTACATGGAAAAAAAAAGAATTATCAAGGGCTTATGAGGTTGGGGAGGGGGGGGAAATAAGCAGATACCAAGGGCTCAAATAGAAAATGTTGTGAAAATGATGGCAACATGTACAAATGTGTTTGACACAATGGATGTACGTATGGATTGTGGTAAAAGCTGCCAATAAACTGATTTTATATATATATACATTACAACAAAATTGGAAGTAACTAAAATGTCTTTTAATATGAGATTGGTTTTTAAAAGTATCCACACATTGTACAAGGAAAAGCAGTATCATTGATAAATCTTTTGACCTGGAAACTCATAATATGCAGAACACATGATCCTTTTTGTTGATGGAAAGAGCTTCCAAGGTAACGCCTAGAAGAATTTAAATACAGAGCAACCTTTTCTGATGTGAGCCTATTTTTTGAGCCAGAGCTCCGCTCTAAATTAGTTCCCATCAGTTTTGGATTAGACTACCTAGCGAGTTCTTACTGGATGGCCACTGCCTGTCGATGCAACTGGTATTCTGGAAAATGCTTTCTGGTTTTCTGCAAATTCCTGTTGACTCGTCCTTGGCCTTCAGAGATGAGTAAACAGAATTCACATTTCAAAAGCAATTTATGGTGCAAATTACATGTTAAAAACTTGAAGATGATTAAAAGTCCTCTTCTATCTGGATACCTTTTCAGAAAGAATTAGCAGTTCCTTACGCCTATGAAGAAAAGTGCTCTCAGACAATTAAATTTTGTATTTTACTATCTGTTAATTTTACAGATTGCGTCTTTGTAGCATTTTTAAATTGTAAGGAACTGCATTAGGAAAACGTAATTTACTCCACAAAAGTTTAAATATCTATATTAATGAGCAAGGTGCATGGTCTGGACTTAATATGTTTCAGGCTTTTCTAGTCTCGTTTTTATTTACCCACTGCCTTGATGAAGATGCTTTTATTTCTTTTCTTTTCATTCTTCCCTGTTGTACTCTGCTCATTGCTTTGTCTACCTCTCCGGGACCTGCCAGATTCTTCCTGCTAATCCGTACTTTGCCTGTCCATCTTTCTGAAGGTGCCAGCTTCTCCAGAAAGCCTTTCGATTTACCGCTGGCAACTCGATCTCTCTACTGTAGTGGGTTTCCTGTGTCTCATGAAATTCTCCACCTGGTTATATGTTGCCTTAGGTTGCTTGTCACTTTTCATGTTCTTGGCCTTGACTCCACAGTAGATAACAGGTTCTTTCTGCTTGATTTTTTTCTATCCAATAACATATTGGGCACAGCTCAAAAAGCAGTTTTTATTGGTTTGAGTTGATTTCAAATATAGTACACATCACCCCTACTGTCTGAAACTTACAGTGCTTCTATGAAAACATTCTTAAGTCAAAATGGGAAAAGGTGAAGAAGCCATTCCCATTGGCTTACATGGGAAAGATCTTGAGCATTCCCAGGCTCACAAAGGAGCCCACCAAGTCCCACATAAAACCTAAAATAGCATTTAACAGTTAAAGCAGGAACAATGTGATAAATCTCTAGTCGGTATTAGGGAGAAATGATGTATGAACTGTGTAGTTTCCAGGAGAGGGGCCAGGGGCCACCACTCTCACTGTTCAGGGTGTGGTGTGCGTTGCCTAATAGCTCACTAGAAGACAAGTGCTGCATGCTATTTTCCTTTTTTTTTTAAGTGAAAAATATTTGGATTTCTTTCAGTTGAGAAAATGGGTGCTAATGTAGTTCTTTCATAAAAGCAATGTGGTATAAAACAGAACTTCCAAAACCCTGGATATTCGTAATCATACCTTTTCATTGTCTACTGTGTTTCACCAGTTTATTGTCAAGATTTAGGTAGACTAAATTCCCCTGGTTATTTCTTAATCATAAACAGGGACCCCAATAAGCCTGTGGAAAAAAATCTTTATTATTTCATTCCATTTTTAAAGCAGCCTGGTAAGCATGAACATTTATTTCGGAAGCTTCCTGTCTGGTTGATTGAGTGCTGTTTTCAGAAGCAAGAGTTGATCTGCTTTGTTTAGCCCTGCATGCACAAGAGGGAACGCACAAGAATGCCTTTCTTGTTGTTGTTGAAAAGTAACAGATTCCGAGAGAAGAAAAGTGACAGGTCTTGATAGGACTCATTTCAGGTTATTTACCTGCTTACCTTTCTGCCAGCTTCTGCCTGTTTCTTGTCTGTATACAAATGAGATCTATTCTTAAGTGTATCTTTGAAATTAGTTTGTAGGTAAGTTGGAACAGATGCATACGATTCTTATTTAGCCGTTACTTTAATGTAAAAACAGACTCAGCCTTTTCAGTGATTCAGAAACTGCTCATGCAGCAAGTGAAGGTGATGAATGAGTGAATTTATTGAGTTGAGATTGGTTCAGTCTTTTCAAAGTTAGGGCAAATTTACATAATATTAAAGGGCAAGAAGGAGTTGTTATTACGTAAGACAATATAGCCCTCAGATTGCCTGCATGTTTTAAAAAATCACTTTCAATAAACAGAGTATGGATGCTTTAGAACAGGTAAAAATTGGCCATTTAGCTTTTATAAACTTGTCAGTTGCAAGAATGTCCTTGTTACCTCCAGGGACACAGGCAGAATTGTCAGCAGGTTTTGCTCTGTAGCTTCTTGGGCAAACATGAAAATGCTGTTATTTGTTGTGCAGTAACTTCTGGATTTTGCTCATATTCTCAAAAAACAAATCGGAGATTAGCTTACATATACATTGCATTCATTTGGGTTTTCATAATTATTTAAACAATTTTTTTTCTCCACTAAATCCTTCATGGATATTAAACAAATGAGTGTATGTGATTGTGTGTGTTTGTGTAAGAGAGTTATTATTTCAGTCATATCACACTTTAAAATGGCTCTTGGATTAGCCTTAGTATTTTTCTTCTATTTGTGTGTAAGGGTTGGACTCTTCTACCTAGATTAAGAATCCACTAGTCAAGCACACCTATGCAACCACGAGGTGTCGAAGGGATCAGGTGTAAGGCATCATCAGAACAAAAAATCTTACCATTGTGAATGATGGGGGGAGTGCGGAGTGGAGATCCAAAGCCCATTAGTAGGCCACTGGAGATCCCCTTGCAGAGGGGTCTGGGGAGGAGATGAGCCAGTCAGGGTGTGATATAACAATGATGAGAAATACAACTTTCCTCTAGTTCCTAAATGTTTCCTCCCCGCTCCCACTACCATGACTCGAATTCGATATTGCAAGTCTGGCTAGACCAGAGGAGCCACACTGGTACAGATAGGAACTGAAAATACAGGGAATCCAGGACGGATGAGCCCTATAGGACTAGTGGTGTGAGTGGCAAAACAGGGAGGGTAAAGGGAGAATGGGTAGGAAAGAGGGAACCGATTACATGGAACTGTGTGTGACCTCCTCCCTGGGGGACAGACAACTGAAAAGTGGGTGAAGGGAGACGTCGGACAGGGCAAGATATGACAAAATATCCATTTATAAACTATCAAGGGCTCATGAGGGAGGGAGGAGTGGGGAGGGAGGGGGAAAATGAGGACTTAATGTCGGGGGTTTAAGTGGAGAGAAAATGTTTTGAGAAACGATGTACAAATGTGCTTTACACAATTGATGTGTGTATGGATTGGGATAACAGTTGTATGAGCCTCTAATAAAATGTTAAAAAAAAAAAGAATCCACTAGTCTTCATAATTGAGGTTCCATAGAAAGTTTTTAATATGCAGCAGAATTCTCCCAGAACCCAAACTGATCGCGTCATATGAGGCCAGAAAAGGACTTTCCTAGCAGTGTGGAGTCACAAGGGCCAACTGATCTCTCCACCCAGTTTTCCTGTGTGAATATTCTTTCATTGCTTATACAAAGAACCTTTTACAATGTCACTAGCAATGTGCTTACTTAAAAACAATTTATTTTGCTAAATACATGCTTAAAACTTAAGTGACTTTCTTCTGTATCAGGAAGCATTCAGAATTATCTGAGTTGAATGTAAAAGTCTTGGAAGCCGTGGAACTATATAACAAATTGGTGAATGAAGCACCAGTATATTCGGTTTATTCAAAGCTCCACCATCCCGCACATTACCCACCTGCGTCAGCTGGGGTTCCAGGGCAGGTGAGCATGTTCTTTGAGAACATTTTTCAAATTAAAAAAAAAAAATTGTCAATTTAAAATTGTTTTTAAACAGTCCTAAAAGTTCTGTGAATAAAACTTACCTGGGTAATTTCGAGAAATAGTGGCTAACCGATTATGATTCATCAGAACAAATTAGGTACTGATATATGGGTGAATGTAGCTTAGTTCAAAGCTTGTACATGAGAGAAAAGACCTTTAAGTAAATGAGGGGATTTCTGGTTCCTCATGTGCTTTTATAAGTTCAAAGTGATTTAAGTGATTCTGTACCTGCTGATTAGTAAGCAAACTTAAACATGTCTTGCAAACTGTCTTTGACTTACATTAATTACTAAGAAGCTTTGTTTTTGAACTCATTTTGTTCTCAAAAGCTGGATTCATATGTCCTCTTCCTGGATGTGTGGTGTAAGTGGTTAACAGTCCATCTTGGAGAGGGTGTGATGATACAGGCTCGAATGGCAGGCTGCACAGCCGTTCCTAAGCAGCCTCGTGGTTCCCAGCATTTCACACGCTCGCCGTGCCTGCAAAGTGAAGTGAACACCTGTATTCAGCAGTATCCCCATTCGGAAAGCCTTTTTCACGTTTTAGCAAATTAGTGATTGAATTTCAGAATGAACTTGGTTGAGCAAAGTCATTTTAACTTATGAAAAGTAGCATGTGAGGGAGACCGCAATGAGAAAAGGTAGGATGTGGGTGCATAATTTAGATTACACGACACACATAATTGTTCAGTAAAAAAAGAATAGTTACTATGGTAACTGTCATATCAGATAAGATGCATTTATCACATATGCCATGCCCTGAACTTTTGGAAATGATGCGAGTCATTACAAGGATCTCCGTGCAAAAGACAACTGGGGGATCTTCAGTCTTCTGTTTTCTAAGGTACTTGTTTCCACGGTGAAAATGAGCAAACGGAATGCCGACACTGTTGTATGGTAGACCCGTGTGCTGTACTGCTTCCTTGTGTGTGAAAAGGGTTCTCATTTCTCTGCCGGATGTTTGTGTTAAGTTGCATATTGTTTATATATCTGTGTTTTGCTAAGTACAACTCGTTTTTTGTTTTTAAAAACGTTAGATTTCTATCCGTTTGATTTGTTGAAGAACCTCTATCTCTGCACGCTTCACGCACAGGACCATCTGAAATATCCAGAAGGTCTTATTCTAGCATAAACATTAAGTTTTAGTTTTTTACAGAGGAGTTGGGGTCATACACCATTAGTTGTTCAGAGTCCTGAAGTGTCTTTCCAATGTGCCATTCTAAAGTGAGGGCAGACACTCCTCAAGGGAGGGTCTGGTTTCCTGTGGCCTCACAGTGAAACCTCATATGGAGTACTGGAGAACCTAGATCGAATCTAATCCTCAAAAGTAGTCCACTTCTTGCCTTCCCTCTTTTGTCCTACCCTCCAACCGCACCTGTAAAATAAAAAAATATATAGCTAAGCACTTGAAATGTGCTTTGATTTGAAAATCCTCCCCTTTCTGTACTAGGTGGATGGAGCCATCTTGATGGCTCCCCAAAGAACTATAATATTTAATTTCATTGAAGTCTCAAAGTTTTAAATATGCAGATTAGTGAGTTAACTTTTTCTCTTTGGTTAATAGGCCTACCCAGTTCAGTCACATGGTGGAAACTACATGGGTCAAAACATTCACCAAGTCCCAGTTGCCCAGAGCTACCCGCTAGTTCGAGATCAGATTGGCCCACTGAGATCTCTGCCTCCAAGTGTGAGTTCTCCGGTGACAACACAACCTGCTCAGACTCCGTATTTAAGGTACGTTTGATAACAACATCCATTCGTTTTTCATAGACTTTCAGAATGACAATACATGGCCTATTTTCTTTGTAATCTTTTACTCTGCAGTTCGAGAGCTGCCTATTCCTGGGCCTGTGATACAAAGGCAGAATGGTGCTGCTCTTAGTTCTGCTACCCAGACTGAGATGGTTGCCAGACATCTGTGCATAGTGTGGGTCCCTGGAACAAAATAAAGCGAGCCTCACCAATTCCCTATCTCTTTTGCAATGTGCTGTGATCAGCCTAGCTGAATAGTCCCCAATATCTTTTTATCTGCACAGATTCCTAAAAATCAGAAAACTAAATACTTTGACCCTTAGCGTGTATTTTTGAGCTATAGAATTTTTGGTCTACTTTTTTAATGCTATTTACCCCATCTTGAGAATTATGTCTAAATTTTACTGTGTGTCCATTGTGCTTGAACAAAACAAAGTGTTCATTGAACGTGGTCGGGTGTAGATGGTCTCTGGAGGAGTCCTGGTGGCTCAGTGGTAATCACTTAGCTGATCACCAAAGAGTGGGTGGATGGAGCCCACTAGCTGCTCTGCGCAGAGAGACACGCCAGCTTGGAAACCCTGTGAGTCGCTGTGACTTGGAACCAACTCAACAGCAATGTGTTTGGTTTTTTATATGATTTCTAAGATCTCTTCCCATTCTTAAATCCCACGAGTGTGATTTTAAATGTTATCTGAAAAAGAAACCTATGAAGCAGTCAGTGGGTGTATATTGGTATTTAGTTAAAATGTAAAATTTTGTTATCATGGGAACTATGGGAGGAAAAACGAGTGGTTTAGATATCTACTTATATTTGCAAGTAGTATATTTGGTATAATTTCAAATTATGTACCAAAACCAAACTCATTGCCATCGAATTGATTCAACTCATAGCTACCCTACAGGACAGAGTCGAACCCGACTCGTTGGTTTCCAAGATTGTGACCCTTCATGGGAGTAGAAAGTCTCGACTTTCTCCCACGGAGCCGCTGCTGGTTTCAAACTGCTCACTCTGCAATGGACACGCAGCACATATCCACTATGCCACCAGGGATCCTCTTAAATTATGTTCATCCTTTAAATTATATATGCCATTGTAGTTAACAGGAATAAACAGACGTCCTGCAGAGAGAGAGAGAGAGAGAGTGTGTGTGTGTGTGTTTGTGTGTGTGTAGAGCTAATTAGTAAACTCTGGGGCAGGGCTATCCTGAGGATAGAGTCCAGATTATATTAGTCTCTCTGCTTATTTTTTTTTCTGCTTGTTATTTTTATGGAGGAATTTAGTTTCGTCTGTCTCTCAGAGTCAGGCTGAAAGTGAAGCCTGTCCTACCAAAGGAAAGGCTAAATGGGTGTGAGGAGATGAGCCCGTTCCCTCTGCGCTCCACTGAGAGATGGAGGAAGGGGCAGTGAGGGCAGATGGTTCAGCTCCGAGCTTGGGACTCCGTTTGCGTGGCCATGAACCTAGGATTTCACTTCTAGGAAGGTTTGCACTTTGAAAAGACTTTGAAATGTTTCTAGTTAGAGATTAAATAGACCTTGTAATCTGGTATTTTTCTTCTTCCTGAGTACATGTCTCTTCTTACCAAATATAAAAAAAATAGGATATTGTCAGTATCTGATAGCTCAACTAATGAAGCCATTATTAGATAGCAGTGCTACATAAACAAAGATGGGAAAAGCATTTTTATTTTGTCGTGGTTATGGGCTCACTGTAACTTAAGCAATATAAAGTAAGCATGCTTTTCTGTTTTATATTTCTGTGTGCAGCACTGGACAAGACTCTGTCTCCAATCCCACGTATATGAACCAGAACTCTAACCTTCCGTCAGCCCCTGGCACGGCTGTGTACCCACAGCAGATGGGGATGGCTATGGACGTGTCATCGTACCAGAACACTGCTTCCAGCTTGCCGCAAGTAGCAGGCTTTCCGCTGGCTGTTCCAGCTCATTCAGTTACACAGCAGCAAACAAATTATCACCAGCAGCCTCTCCTGTAGGAGCGACCCAAGCATCTTGAAAGCATTCATAAGTGTGTCACTCAACTTTGATGATGCTCACCTGAAAATATTCTTAATGTTTTCTTTCAGCTCAAAGGGACCATGAATAAAGCAAGCACAAAGGCCTACCTTACTCTACTAAGGTCATAAAAGAGCTTTTTTCAGTCCAGTTTGTTCCAAGTCAAACTTTTGATCGAGGGAACTTACAGATGCTTCCAACTGGTTTTGTCTGACTTTAAGATCTCGCTACATAAATCTGGACACCCAGTAAGTAGCCCTGTGACACTAAACAACATGAGCTACAAGTGTAAACATTTTATTTTGAAGAAACTCATCTTTCCCTCCTAAAACATCATCATTGGGAGAGCACTGAAACCTTTAAATATTTTTTGTCCGTACATCCCTCCCCCCTTCAGTTTCCCACACACTATTATTTTAAAATTCGAACATCTTTTTGTGTAAGCATTTAGCTTGCCAAGTATTTCCTTTTGGCTCCTTAAATTGCAGTTGTGTTTGCAGTACTGTCAGTTTTGCTCTCAGTGTTATGTTGAGTAATAATTAGCATATAATTGTCTACAGAAGCAAGAGCAATTTGGAAGAAAGAAAAAAATGTTTTCTATTATTAACAGAGAAGACCATATAAATGCAGATGTATGACAAAACATTTAGCCAGACCCACCCCCTCTCCCAAGTCATGTGAACAGTGGGTGAAGGAGTCCCCAAACCGTTCCCGTTCCTTGAGGAAAAGCGTTTGCTTCCCCACCACAAGGTCCGTGGTCACTTTTCTTTGACCCCAGCCATTCTCTAACGAAGGTACGGGCCCCTTGTTTTTCTCCGTGTGATGTCCTGTGCAGAGATCCTGCGCCTCCTTTTCACGGGCCACTGGTGAATTTGAGCCACGAGACATTCCTCACATTTTGATGTGATATATGCCAAGCTTGATGACAAGTATGTGGTTTTGGGCATGTGGATTTTTTAAGGGAAGCGATTTGAGTGCCATTGGTATGTCAGCCTGTTGAATAATTTGACCTTTCAGAGTAATTCTGAGTCTGTGGGATAATAGCAGGTAATTGGACTGATAAAGAACTATGAAAACAGTTTTTTTGACAGCTACATGTTGAATTATTTTATAGCCGTCCTAGAGTCCCAGACTAGGAATTAGGTTGAAAACCAATAGGGTTGGGTTTTGTCCCTAAAAATTTGCACATTACTTGACCATCTACCAACTTTTTATATAACACAATGTAGAAAATGCAAATAAATATGCTAACAGGTATATAATATTTAGATAGAGAAAAACTGGAAATTAATTTTTTTAAAGTTACTTATATGGAAACAGGATTTCTATATTTTACCATTTATAGAAACTTGATTAGCAGTATGCTGCTTTTCTCAAAGGAATTGTGTCCTAGAGCAAAATTGTCTATTTGGTACTTGGTCTAAATTTTAAAAAGATCAACAGCAACAAACAACAACACATATTTGGAAACCTGATTTCTATCATTGTTTTATTTCAGACATAACTACTCCAAAGAAAATATTAGTCCTGATACTTTATGTGTTAACTCATCTGGTTTTTCCTTCCGTGTGAATTCAATTGTATAATTATAAAAAATATTCTAAAATGGCACCTTACTTTTTGGGGGAACAAATCTCTTGTGCTTTAAATAGAAAAGAAAAAACACATAGAAAACATTTCCAAAGCTGCTCTTGATTATAGTTAATGTTTGTGTGTGTGTGGCAAATCTCACTTTTCCCTCCCAAACTATATTTAATAAACCGTTATTTTAAAGTTTGTGTAAATATTTTCTGTATAATTGTCATCTGAATTGTGAAAGCTAAGTTCAACGTAAATCTTTCAACCAGTAAAAATACTACACACTCACTAAATGGGGACCAGCCAATTAAATTCAAGTAATGTACTTTTGGAATAATATAACATGGAACATGTATATAAGTAATGTACATTGGCATTTATCTGTGAAATTTTATACCTGCAGAAGTTTCTCCCTCTTACATTAAAAATAATTTTATTTTTGCCATACTGTTATGATTGTTGTGCTGCAGGTTGTTGATAGTCTAAACATGTTTTAAAGTCTGTGTGCTGAGATGACTTTTGATGTTGTTAAGAACTGTAGGTGTTGTTCTTCACTTTTCTGTCCATGGCCTCATGATTGTATTTATTTTAAGATTGGCTTATAATTAAATATTTTCTGCCAAAGAATTTGTCTAACTTCAGATTTCTACATTGGGTACATACGTATACTTTTATATATGAAAAAGTAACTTCTGCTTTTTCATATGAAATCTTGGTATATTAAATGGAATTCCAGAAGGTTGGTAGTAGCATTACCTTTATTAATGTAGAAAAATCTCCCCCTGGGTATTTGAATATATGATGTGGGATATGTACTAATAGTTTGAAAAATGTACAATCCATTGTTTTGTAATTGGCAGTTTATAAATTACCTGAACATTAAGCAATTCTTTGTTACTTAGAATATACAAATATTTGAAGTTGATGTTTGGCCCCATAACGTTTTACATTTGAAAGTTGTTACTAAAGTTTCACCTTCCGATTTTTAAAAATTAAAAAAAATTTATTTTAAATATGGGTTAGAATACTGGTGTTTTTTAATGCTTTCCTGAGGAAAAGCTTATGTATCCAGGCTTCTGGAGAGAGTTAAGTCAGTCATCATTATGATGAGAAAGCTGAAGTTATTTTTATAAGTAATAAATTATAAATAATACAGTAACAATCAACAATGCTTTGTTTCTGTTAAAATATATTTTTCTTGTTTACTTTAATCTGTTTAAGTTAATAAATAAAAGGGAGGACTTAATTTTAGGTTTGGGGTTTTTTCAATGACTTAGCTTCTTTTGAAGATTTTTTTTATTATTATTATTTTTTCCTTAGAAGAAAAACTACTCTTATTTTACAAGCTTAATTTGAAATTCAGAATCTCTTCTTTAAAAATAAAACAAAAACCCGTTACTGTGTCTTAAAAGAAATTGTGATCCTTACATGGGTAAAAGTGAACAGAGAAGTGTGGGTACCAAAATGTGAACATTTTATAGGCTTGCTTAAAATTGGACAGAAATTCTGAAAAAGATGTCCATAGTCCAGTAGTAATCTTTCATTATCATTACTAACTATAATGAAAATTGCACAGATAAATGAAACTAAAACCCCTGTTATTTACATAATCCCACATTGATTTTTAAAATCCCAGAACTGTATTTTTAATAATTGATTTTCAGAGGTGTTCAGAGTTAACAAGATGATAACCGTTTGTGTACTTTACTGCCTTTATCAAGAAGTGAACATCAGATGAACAGAGAATGGTCAAAGATAAGCAGAGGAATCCAGGAGAAGAACCAAAAGCTGGGTAGTAACGCACACCTGTACATTCATTGCCCTCATCATTCGCAGAGCATTTGCTCTCCACCTGCCACCTAAGCCCCTGGCATCAGCTCCCTGTTTCTCCCCTCCCTCCCTGCTCCCCCTCCCTCATGATCCCTTGATAATTTATAAATTATTGTTTTGTCATATCTTGCCCTGTCTGATGTTTCCCTTTCCCACTCTCACCACTGGTCCTGGAGGGATCATCCGCCCTTGATTCCCCATTTCCAGTCCCTATCTGTACCAGTGTATTTCCTCTGGTCTAGCCAGATTTGTAAGGTAGAATTGGGATCATGATAGTGGGGAGGAGGAAGCATTTAAGAACTAGAGGAAAGATGTATGTTTCAAAGTTGCTACATCGCACCCTGACTGGCTCATCTCCTCCCCGAGACTCTTCTGTAAGGGCATGTCCTGTGGCCTTCAAATGGGCTTTGGGTCTCCACTCTGCACTCCCCCCATCATTCATAATGATAATGATTTTTTGTTCTGATGATGCCTGATACCTGATCCCTTTGACACCTCGTGATCATGCAGGCCGGTGTACTTCCTCCATGTGGGCTTTGTTGCTTCTGAGCTAGATGGCCGCTTGTTTACCTTCAAGCCTTTAAGATCCCAGACGCTATATCTTTTGATAGCCGGGCACCATCAGCTTTCTTCGCCACTTTTGCTTATGCACCCATTTGTCTTCAGCGATCATATCAGGGAGGTGAGCACACAATGATATGAATTTGTGTTCTTTGTTGCCTGATAACTGATCCCTTTGGCACCTCATGATCACACAGGCTGGTGTGCTTCTTTCATGTGGGCTTTGTTGCTTCTGAGCTACATGGCTGCTTGTTTATCTTCAAGCCTTTAAGACCCCAGACGCTATATCTTTTGATAACTGGGCACCAACAGCTTTCTTCACCACATTTGCTTATTCACTGGCTTTGTCTTCAGCGGTTGTGTCAGGAAGGTGAGCATCACAGAATGCCAATTTAATAGAAGAAAGTATTCTTACATTGAGGGAGTACCTGAGTGGAGGCCCAATGTCCTTCTGCTACCTTAATACTAAACATATAAATATATGCACATGGATCTATTTCCCCCTCCTCATATATAAATATATTTGCATATGTACATGCCTTTATTTAGACCTCTATAAATGCCCTTTGCCTCTTAGCTCTTTCCTATATTTCCTTTGACTTTCCTCTTGTCCCACTATCATGCTCAGTCGTCATTTGGGTTTGAGTAATTCCTCTTGATTACATGACCCTTGATCATGCCCTCCAGGCCTCCTACACCCTCCTCACCACCAATTTGGATCACTTGTTCCCTTGTCCCTGGGTTTGTTAACATCACTACCTTTACCCCCACCTTCCCTTCTCCCCCGGAACTGTCAGTCCCGTTGCAAAACAACCTTATCACCTTCAAAGTACTCTCCATTACACTTAATACATTTGTCAAATCTGCAGTTTCATTCTTGGACACATTTTGCAAACTCATCCGTTTAGATGGCTGACAGAACTTTCCTCGTTTTTTCCTTCACTTCCAAGTCATCGAATCACTGTCCTTTCATGTTTCTCTTCAGTCACAGAAACAAAAAAAAGTCACATGGAGCAAAGTCTGATGAGTCAGGTGCATGGGGCAACAGAGGCATGCTGTTTATTGGCCATAAACTGGTGCACTGAGATGGCTGCATGAGCAGGTGCATTGTCATGGTGGCCAAACCAGTCCCCCCATCTGCCACGAATCAGGCCTTTTTGTTGCACACTGTTACTCAATCTTTTCAGAACCTTTAAATAGAAAGCTTGATTAACAGTCTGACCTGGTGGACTGAACCCCAAATGCACTATTTCCCTCATATCAAAAAAACAAATGAGCATCTTGATCTTTGGTTTTACTTGACTAGCTTTTTGGGGGTAAGGTGATGATGGCGTCTTCCCCTGGCTTGATTGATGTTTGTTTTGGGGGGTCGTAAGAATAGTACCATGTCTCATCAACAGTAATGACCTTAAATAAAAAGTCTGGGTTGTATTGGAGCTATTCTTTCAAAGCACAGGCATGTTTCCACTCGAAGCTCTTTTTCTTGGTCAGTCAGAACCCGAGGCACAAGTTTCGCAGTGACTCTCCTCATTCTCAAATCTCCTGTTAAAATTCCCTGAACTGAGCTCCGAGATAGACCAGATAGCTCCCCCATTTCTTCAATGGCCCGTCATTGGTCTTCAAGTACAAGTGCACAAGTTTTGTTGATATTTTCATCCATTTGTGAAATTGATGGACATCCTGAGCGAGATTTGTCATCAATTTTGAATGTCACCTATTTTGAAAGGAGAAAACCATGAACACCCTTGAGTTTTTCCCACAGTGCTGCCCTTGTTACTTATTTTCCACATCACAACAGTTTCTGTGGCATTTTATGCTAGCAGGAAACAATTTAACAGCTGCATGCTGTTCTCTCAAATCGGCCTTTACAAAACATAAGGTTCAAGCAAAACTGGTTTCATGAAAAAATTCTCTGTGACTGGTGAGAACCTTCCCAGGCAATGCCACTGGGTGCACTAACTCAGAGCAAGTTGCTTGATGCTCGCCTAGTGGGAAAAATGCGTACTATGAAAGCTCCACCCAGTGGAGCTTTTTTCCGTTTTGTTTGGGGGTTGCAGTACCCCCTCATGGAGTTTACAGAGATGTGTATGAACAGATACGGGTCGTTGTGGAGATGGTGTCTGATCGCCCCCCCCCCCCCAAACAACTTGAGACAAGTACTGTATTAGGGAGAATATATTGCGTTTAAACAGAAAAAAAGTGGAACTTAGTGCCGTGCCCTAACCCAAAATAATCTTTATCATATTGCTTTCTTGGGTGGGGAGCGCCTCCCTTGAATTTTTCACCTTTATTTCTTTGTTCAGAACTGTTGTCAAAAGGTTTCCTAGCCAGGCTGAGTCTAGGAAGATGAGTTTTTAGCTTGCCAGCTGCTGCTGACAGAAGGAAAGGGAGCAGATGATTGGGAATGAATGTAGAGTCTGCACTAGTTATTACAGTGCCTGCTGCAGACAAACCTGTCCAAGTGTGTGTGCAACCTGGTGGTGGTATTTGTGTGTCTGGTACATAAATTATAAGTTGGTTTGTTGGTCAAACAAGCCCCATTTGGGGACATAAGTATTCTATAAGTTCTAGTCAATAGAGGCCAGAAGTAATGTTTATTTCTGACACAATTGGTAAATCTGGGACAAACTCTTTTTTTTTTAAACCTCAGGAGAGACAGAAGAAAACCTAGAGGTAGAAATGGAAATAAAACTTTAAACTACCCTTTGACTATTTTGAAAGATGAAAAATCAAACATGGGTTAGCATTCATTTACTCAGTAACATACTGGGGCTATTAAGAGCTTGCATTACAAGGCCTGGACTGTCTGTGGTTTTGAGTTGTGTAACAGATGTTATAGTTTATCATTTAAAACATTTTTATATACACATTGTCACTGAATTTTCATAGCCCCTTTTAGGTAGAGAGGTAAGCTAAGAGGTTAAATAACTTTCACAAGGTCACACAGCGGATGAGGGGCAAAACTGGGATTCCAAACCTGGCTCTGATCTAAAGCATGTACTGCTCCCCACAGTATTAATGTGATCTAACTAGAAAGAAATTATCAAATAATGTTATTTCATTGCTCCCTTTCCCACAAATCACCGTTAGATTGATGGGGTCCCCAAAGGGCTCACTTGAATGTAAAGTATCCTCGTATTTTCGTGGGTGAGAATGCGAAAGTAGGAAAGATCGAAATAGTGGGCGAAGCTATTTCATGTGTGTGTTATTCAGCGATTAGCTCTGTCACATAGGCAGCTGAAGAGATCAGAATTTTGTGTAATCAACCTGATTTGCTGTGAGGAGGAGGCCTCAAACATGGATAAAAATCAGATCAAAATCACTTACAGAATACTGTGTTCTTTATGTGTAAGAGTAATTCTCAAGAAAACATTCCAACCCAGTCCAGCTCAGATCCGATATGAATCCATAAGTTCTTCTTCAGACTCATACAGCCACATGCAGTGATGCAGAATGCAGGAGATGACAGGCCCGTGGGTGCAAAGCCGTGTGGATCCAATGGCCGTGGTAACACCAAGGGCTCTGGCAGCAACCAGGGTCAGCCAGCAGGAAGGGGCAGGCCGAGAGACAGAGAGAGGCTGGCCTGCAGAGAGCTGTGTATCTTAGTTGCTCAGAGTACTGTTTTCTGATCGGTAGGAAGTAAACGTCAAGGAATTGTGCTGAAGGATAGGGCTAGGAAAAACGAGTATTGGCTCATTTGGGTGTTAGGAGAGTAATTCTGATGTGAAACCGAGGGATATGAGTTCTAGACAGACAAACCCAGATTATCAAAAGAATCAAGTCTCCTGAGAACCAATCCCACCCCGAGCCTGAGGTGTTTATGATCCAGATGAAGGCTAAAATCTTCAAAATGACTCATGAGGGTCTTTGTGATCTCACCCTGGCCATCCTCTGTAGCCGCCTCTTCACTCTACAAGCTCCAGTTTTCTCAGATGCCAATTTTTCTTGTTAGCACCTTTACTTGACCCCACTCGTTGTCCTGTGTTAGGGAAAGCTGCTGCCCATCTGAAAAATTAGCCTTTTAAGTGACAACCCAAATTTCATTGATTCTGGCCTCTATTGTAATGCTCTGCTTCAGTAACATCTTGTAATTACAGTTTTCTCTGATTTGTTCTTACTCTTGTGCTTCTTGTTTATCAGCATTGTTCTATTTTAACGCATCTGAAAATCAGGATGCATCCTACAAGAGATAAGCATATATTGTAGGATTACATTTTATTCTCTTAAAACTACTCTCAATAATGCATCTTAAAATACAAGTTATCTTCGAATCATGGAAATATGACATTACTTTATCAAGTGGACAAAAGGGGACTAGGATCCAGTCTGTCACGAAGGTCCATGGCTTTTTAAGAATACCTTAGTGCTCCTTGTATTGTATTTTTGAGTGAGCACTTTTTAAAAACTTATTAATTTAGAGTTAATACATATATCACGCCATAGTTCAATCACATCAAGCAGAATTGTACAATTGCTACCACACTCAGTTTCCAAACATCCTTTTTTCTTCCTGGACTCCTTGACATCATTTCCCTTTAACCACCCCACCCCTCCCCCTACCACCATCACTGTGCCTCCGTCCCCCCTCCAATTGGTGAACGCTTTCATTACCAGAGCATTATGCTCATTTCTCCACTGGTGCATGGTGGGCGATGAGTCGGACTGATAACTGGAGCTCAGACGTTCAAAACTACCAGCCACTCTGGGAGAAAGACAAGGTTTTCTCCTCCCCCCCCCCCCCCCCCCCCGCCATAAAGAGTTAGAGAGTTTCTGAAACCCATAGGAGCATTTCTATAGTGTCCTATAGGGTTGCCATGAGTCAGAATTGACACTGTGGCAGTGAGTTTAGAGCAGAGATAGAGTCACAACAGATTTTTTTTTTTTCTCTCTGATGCATGGCAGGAAACATCATAGACCCATAGGTCTGAGCTAGGGGAGGGTCAAGTGATTATGAAAAAAATAGCATATAACAGGTTTACCTAGAGGGTTGTACAGTTAGAGATGCTCAGGTGACATTAGTGAGAGACACTTAAGGAGAAACTAAGGCCTAAGGAAAAGAAAATCGCAATGGTCATGGTATTGGGTAGCTAGACTTCGGTATGCCACCTCATGTTTATATTGGTTACAGGTAGTACAGCTATATTTGCGTTTCCTTTCAACTTTGAATTTTTAAACCTTTGCTCTTTACTGGGGACAGAAAGTGAGAAAATGAGAATTTGAAAAATATTTGGTACTCCTACACCTCACAACTAATTTTCTGACACTTCATTTATGGCAATAGTTTATAAAACCTAGCATTTCGAGCCCCTGAGCGGTATGAAAGCTTAGGGGCCCTGCAACTCTCCTGAAGGTTGGTGTGTCAAGTCCACCCAGAGGAGCTGCTTAAGAAAAGCCTGGCAATCTCTTTTCCCAAAACCAGCCTCCCAAACCCCTATGTAGCACAGTTTGGCTTTGACCCACGTGGGGTGGCCATGAATCAGCCATGACAGCAGCTTTCCCCCCTAATCAATGGCAGGAGAGGGAAGTGTGAGAGAATGTGACTTTTCCTGTAAAAAACAATGTTTTAGGGTGGATTTGTGATTTATTTAAGGAGGTTGTAATTAGGGTCAGGCAAGTACAGGTATGGAGAGAATCTGAAAGACAGCAGTAAGTCAAAGTGAGTGAGTGTAAAGGTGTAATAAGGATGGAGAAGCAGGTTTTATTAAGTTACTCACTAGGGAACCCAGTATAGTTCTTTCTCGTCTTGTTTCTCCCACCCCCACCCCCCACCCACAGATCTTGCTTTGCTGAAAGTTGTAGAACAGGAAGGCATACGGGAATGCTTTAGTGGAGCTGTGGATCGAGGGACACGTCAACAGGGTTCGTGTGAGTGTGCAAGGTGGAAGCAGTGACGTGAGAGGCACTGTTAGAAATACACATCTCTAAGCGTATCATTTGTTCCTTGGGAAATTTGTTCTCATTCTTTTTTTTTAATGCTCTTCCTATAAGAGGATGATTCCTAGTGTAGGAGAAAAGTTATTTTCCATCACAGACCCCCTTTTTCGTCATCTGGATGACAGGTCTTGGTTGATGGTCTTCTGCGTCTAGTCTTGGGAGATCCAGCAGAGTCCTGGACCAAAACGATTTTGGAAGGTTTCCCTTTGGCATCTGCCCTGCTCCACATTGCTTTGTGAGTTCTTCATGTAACGATACATTATCTAAAAAATAAATCATAAAAAAAATCTAGCATTATATTTTGACCACAAGCAATGTGCATCTGGCAACAACCAGTGGTGTGTTGGATAAGGTTTTGAGCCAACATGGGCAGGCCATTGTGCTCAGTAGTTTGGCAGTTATGGAATGATGTAATTTGGCAGTTATGGAATGATATAGTCTTCCATTTTGTGATCTGATGTGGTCATCCTCGATTTTAACATGATGTATATTTTGCATCCGGACCTGGTTTTGGGGAACTCAACCATGTCCATAAGCAAGGAGTGGGTGGATTTAACTGATGTCACTCAGTATTTTAATTTGAACATTTGTAATATCTCCTTTGAAGGCTATAAGATTTAATTTATAGCAAACACTCAAAGTGGCAATCTGAAGATGACAAAGAAGAGGTAGTCAGTTCTCATCACTGTCAAACTATCGCTCTGCCTCTTATGGAGGACTGTATGATTGTTGGCAGTTTTTCATTCTTCCCCTTTTCCTCTAAGAAGATTATACTTGGAGGATATACTTAAAGCATATATATATATGCTTTAAAAGTCCATCCCTTGATTTCTGGAGAAGACTCTCCCTTTCCACTCACTCGGGACTTGATCATATGCCATGCCTTGGCCAGTGTGACATGAGCAGGTGAAACAGATACCCATATCTAAGAAGCAGACTGAAGAAGTACCATGACCTTCCTATAGCTCTGGTTGTAGCTCTCCTCAGATCCAGCATGTTGCATGCAAATTAAACCTGCTGCTTTAGCCTGGCCCTTGGAATGAGGAATACAACCACAGCCTGGAGCAGAACCACAGTTCTGGAATATTATGCAGTATTAAAGAATGAAACTCTGAAGCACCTCATGATGTGGGTAGATTTGGAGGATACGTTGAGTGAAGTGAACCACAAATGGATAAATACTGTATGAGACCCCAGGGCAAGTGTGATGGTGGGGCAGGAAGAAGGTATAAGGAAACAGAGGAAAGATCTAGGAAGCAAAGCTATGGATAGAGGCATATACATAGGTATGCACTCATGTAAATCATAAAAATAGAGGTATTGCCTATGTACATATATTTATATGGCAATACATTGAGGAAGTGGACGACCCTTTGGGCCTCTGCTTAACCCCTCCTTCAACTCAAGAACACTTTATTCTAACAACCAGGCGTTCTGCGATGCTCACTCAAGACAAAATAGGTGCATAAGCAAATGTGGTGAAGAAAGCTGATGGTGCCAGGCTATCAAAAGATATAGCATGTGGGGGTCTCAAAGGCTTGAGTTAAACAAGAGGCCATCTAGCAGAGAAGCAACAAGTTCACATGGAAGAAGCACACCTGCCAGTGTGATCATGAGGTGTTGATGGGATCGGGTAACAGGCACCAGAAGAAACAAAACAAAACAAAAACATATCATTGAGAACAAAGGGGGTCAGAGCAGAGACCCAAAGCCATCTGTAGACAATAGGACATCCCCTCACAGAAAGGTCACAAGGAAGGGATGAGTCAACCAGAGCGCAGTATAACACCAGTGAAACACAGTATTTCTCTGGTTCTTTGAGGCTTCCTCACCCATCCCCACCCCCCACTGTCATGACCCCAGCCTGCCTTTCAGTTCTGGCTAGACCAGAGAATGTGCACTGGTAGAGGTAGAGCTCATGACACACAGAATCCAGGTCAGATAAACTGCTCAGGAACAAATGGGAGTAGCAATACCATGAGGATAGGGGGAAAGCGGGGGAAACAATCACAATGATTGACGTATAACTCCCACCCTCACCGCAGGGGAATGAACAATAGAAATGTAGGTGAAGGGAGACAGTGGATGGTGTAAGATATGAAAACAACAATTATTTATCATTTATCAAGGCGCTGTGGGGGAGGGGGATCTGAAACCAAGGGCTCAAATAGAAAACAAATGTTTAGAAAATGATTATGGCAACATATGTACAAATGTGTTTGATACAACTGATGTACAACTCAATGTTATAAGAGCTGTAAGAGGCCCCAATAAAATTATTTTTAAAATAATAAAAATAAAGTGAGGAAAAATTCAGGCACAAAAGTACAAGTACAACATGAGTCTGCTGAAGTAAGCGTTAAAAAAAAAAAAAGCAAAAGCGGCATAGGGAAAAAAATACTGTATACAAACATTCTTGGGGTAAGGACTAGGTAGTATGGCAGGGACCAGATCAAATGCAGGGATGCACATGGTAGACAATTGGGGAGGAGGTAGGGAAAGGAAGCAAAAATGATGAAAATAAGGAAGAAATGGGTAGCAAGGGCACGGGGGGCTAACCCACCCAAGGGGAGGGTATTGTTTATATCTCCACAGG